GGTAGTCTCTCGTTACAGGTTCAACAATGTTTCAATAAAGGAAAAAATAGTAACTTTTGTTGGCAAATAGTTGGCAAATAGAGTTGGCAAAGTTAGCAAATATAGAATTCATACCTATTAGAAAGAATGGACTGCTTGCAACAAAATTTATACTTTATGTAAATTTATGTTACTGAAGTAGGTACTGTATATCGTGTTTATAAGTTTCCATAGTTAATAAAGCACTTAACTGTATTTGATTAGTTTGTTGAAATTAAGTAACTGAAATTATATTAAACATTTTTTTAAATTATTTATTTTTGAAAGAGAGAGAGAATGAGCAGGGGAGGGACAGAAAGAGAGGGAGACACAGAATCTGAAGCAGGCTCCAGGCTCTGAGCTATCAGCACAGAGCCCCGGTGCAGGGTGCAAACCCACGAGCCTAGCTGTGAGATCATGACCTGAGCTGAAGTCATATGCTTAACAACTGAGCCATCCAGGTGCCCCTGAAATAATATTTTTGGTTCAGAATCTGTGTGTGTGTGTGTGTGTGTGTGTGTGTGTGTGTGTGTGTGTTTAAGTTTATTTATTTTGAGAGAGAGACAAAGCGAACAGGGGAGGGGCATAAAGAGGGAGAGACAGAGAATCCCAACCTGGGGGTCAAACCCATGAACTAGGAGATCATGACCTGGGCTGAAATCAAGAGCTCAGGGCTCAACTGACTGAGCCACCCAGGCGCCCCTTGGTTCAGAATCTTTTAAATATGAATGTTGGAATTTAGAAGCTAGATATTTAACTGTACTTTATAAAATGAGAGTTTTAAATCATTCCTTATGTGTCTTTGAATGAATCATAGTGTTTCTTATAGCTCTGAAGTATTTCTTTATTAAATTAGAAAAAAACCGTAATTATGAGGAGTTGTAGTTATGAGGATCTATGTGTAATTACAAATCAATGAGTAAATAAGTGGAAAATAAGAGCTCTTTGGTTATATTCTACTTCTGTGATACTGAGTTTGATGGTGGTTTTAATAAATCTTTAAAATGGGCTCAAAATCTGAGTATCATTGATTTCATGAAGCAGGTTATTTGCTTTTTTGCAGAGACTAAAAAAATAAATTTTGTATTTTTACCAAGACTGCTTACTCAGTCATTCAACAAACACTGAGTGTCTGCTAACCTAGGAACTCTCCTAGACTTTGGGGATACAACAGCAAACAGACATAAAGCCCTGTTCACGTGGAGCTTAAATTCTAAGAAGAGCAGATAATAGACTAATAAATTAGGAATGTATGTATTATGCCATGAGAGTAACTGTTATGGAGAAAATAAAGCTGGGAAGGAGGAAAAGGAGTGCTGGGTGAGACTGTAATTTTATATAGGTAACTAGGGAAGGCCTTAACTGAGAAGATATAAAGAAGTAAGGACATGAAGAAGTGAACTAAGTAAATATCTGGGAGGAGAGCATTCCAGGCAGAAGGCACAGGAAATACAAAAGTTTTGGGGTGGTAAGCAGGCTTGTGAGTTCCAGGAATAGCAAGAAAGCCAATGTGGATGAACTGAGGGAGAGTAGGGGAGAGGGGCTTGAGATGAGATCACAAAGCCAGTTGGGGTCCAAGTCATCAGGCCTTGTAATAAATATTATTTATTTAAATAATATTTAAAAAATATTTTAATAATTGAGTGACCAGGGAAGTCACTCTAGTGGATGTTAAACACAAGAATGGCACGATTCAACTTAAAATTTTTAAAAACATAAATCTGGGGGTGCCTGACTGGTTCAGTCAGTAGAGCATGTGATCCTGATCACATGGGTCATGAGTTCAAGTCCCATGTTGAGTGAGGAGTTTGCTTAAAAAAATAAACAAAATATTTGAAATAAAATAAAACATAAACCTGGTTGCTGTGTGGAGGATGGACTGTAGGGGACAGGAGTGGAAGCAAAGACACCAGATGGAAGGCAACTGCAACAATCCAGGAAGGAGATGATGGTGACTTAGACCAATTTTGGTGGTAGCAATATTGACGGTGTAAAGTAATGGGATTCTGAATACTTTCTAAGGTCAAGTCATTGTTGGACTGGATGTAGGATGAGAGAGAGAGAGAGGATCACTCTCTTACGATAGAGAAGAAAGTAGCCTTCCATTTGTCATCTCTTGAGATGGAGGGGGCTACAGATAGGATAGTGGAAGTGGGAATCATGTATCAGGGTATCCTCTTCTTCCAAAGGAATTGGTTTTAGAATAACAATAATAACTGTATTAGATTTATATTGGTATCCTAGCTGGTTCCTGCCAGTGGCCTATTGGCAGTGGCTAAAAGGCACTCTCTAAAATGGCAACTCATGAACTTAGGGTTGGAAAATTATAGTGTATTAGAGTTGGAGAAAAACTGAATATTACAAAACACCCATATTTTTTATGGATTATTATCTCATTTATTTAAATCCTACCTGATTTTTTTTGTTTTAGTAAGTTTCATAGATTTGCTACTTGAAGTATTAAGGTTCAGTAGAACTTTCTTCTATTTATTTTAAAAATTCTCCCTACATTTTGCAAGCTTTAGAATACATTCCTTATTTTTACAATTCTTGGATGTCATGAATCCATGCTGTCCTAGACTCATTGTTTTATTTTGACCTTATCCTCTTTCAGTTTCTGTTTAAAAGTGTATTTGATTAACCCTTTGTGTATATTCAGTCTCACAAAACCTCTGGATGGTAGCTAGGATAGATGTTATCTTAATTTTATAGATAAGGAAAACAAAGGGAGAGGCTAATTTAGTGACAAAATCAGAACCCAAATATAACTTCTGACTTCTGCTACAGTATGTTTTCTATTGACTATTTTCTTTCCCATTTTCTTCATTACTTTATTTGTCCTCTGGATACTTTCAGTTTGGTTTTGACCTTGAGATTAGATGCCAACACCACTTGGCATGTTCCTTAGGGGGATTTTAAAAATAAAGACACAATAGGGACACCTGGGTGGCTCAGTCAGTTAAGCATCTGACTTCGGCTCAGGTCATGATCTCATGGTTCCTGAGTTCCAGCCCCGTGTCGGGCTCTGTGCTGACAGCTCAGAGTCTGGAGCCTGCTTTGAAATCTGTCTCCCTCTGTCTCTGCCCCTCCCCCACTCACATTGTCTCTCAAAAATGAATAAAAGTTAAAAAATTAAGAAAAATAAGAATAAGGACACAATAATGCTTTCTGATTTCCTTCTATTTTTCTGATAATGTTCAAAAAATTTCTTTCAAGTTATTTTTGCTTTTTTATTTGTTTTAGCAATTGCAGGAACTGCAGGAATACAGGATTGATGTTTTAATAAAATGGTTTATAATGGCTACTTAATTAGTCTTCTGGTCATAATGAATTCTCTTGAATACAACAGATGTAATCTAAGTTACCTCATACTGGCACACAATACTGGCACACAGTGAAGTTTATTTGCCATGTTTCTGTTCACTTGCACAGCCATGTGAAAATTTCCTGTAGATCTTCCTGCCAATTTGGCATTAAACCGTCTACAAGTGCTTATTTCACTTCCATAATTGTTAAGCTGTTGGAATCTCTAATAAAAAGTAATTTCAGGGGCTCCTGGGTAGCTCCATTGGTTGTGTCCGACTTCGACTTGAGTCATGATCTCATGGTTCATGGGTGTCAGCCCTATTCCTGGCTCTGTGCTGACCGCTCAGAGCCTGGTGCCTTCTTCAGATTCTGCGTTTCCCTCTCCGCCCTTCCCCTGCTTGTGCTCTGTCTCTCTCTGTCTCTCAAAAATAAATAAATGTTAAATGTAAATTTTATTTTAAAATTTTAATAAAAATAAATGCAAAATTTATTTTAAAAAATTTTTAAAAAGTAGCTTCATTGACCAAGGGAAGCAACAGATACTCTCTGAAGGTCTTGAATGTGATAAATATGTAAATCAAGGAAGAATAGTTCGATTTTTTTCAAAAAGTCTTTTTTCAAAAGTGTCATACCTCAAATTAATAGCATTAAATGCACAAAAGAAATACTCGTTTTAATGTGGAGGAATAGTTTGTCATATCAGACAGTAGAATTAAAGACATAACAAATACTAAGTGTAAATTGATTTATTTTGAAAGATATAATCAAAATAACTTTTCCATAAATAATTTGACAGTAGGGAGTCTACAAATTAATATTTTATGCTGTACTCTTTTTCCTGTTTCTTTGGAGTCTTCCATTGTGGGTGAACTGTTTGACTTCCTAGAACTCTTTCTAGTGTAGTCTTTTTTAATTTTCCCTCAACTGAAACGTGGCTTTATCCTTCCTGTAATTCAAACTTTCTTGCCTGTCTTAGTTCACTCTATTTCCTGTTCTTGGAATGTCTTCATCGCCCTTAAAAGTAAAGCTTCCAGAAGGTCTTCCTGATTTCCTAGCCAGAGTGTTCTTAAATGCTCTCCTTTCATTGATTCCATAACATCTGATAGAATCTTCTGTTGCTTTTTTTCATGCCTTCTGATGGATTGCCAGCCTCCTCTGGACAGCAATTTGTATTCTCAATACACTTAAAATAACTGAAACATTTTTTGTTTAATCAAATTAGGGCAATCACTTAGAGAAATTCCTCTTCGGATACACTATCCCTTGGGCACTCCATCCACTCATTGTCTATCTTGGGCCATTGGCTTTCCTATGCCAGTTACAAATTCTTTAAAAACATTTGAGTGTATGCCATATTGAAAATGATTTATGCTATTCAAATGTAGAAAGTAAAAGTGGAAGGAACTCATTTCAGGTACTCTGCCAAAGATGAGTCGGACGCCGGAGGCCAAAGAATTAGGGCTACCGTTTAGGGAGGTGTGACCAGGTAAACAATATTTCGTTAAAACATTAAGTGCCCACTGGGTCAACCTACATTTTATTTAGGTTTCGAAATCTCGGTCAGGTACGCAAACTGAAAATGCTCAGGGGTGGTGACGTGACCGCACGTCACTATCGCGTTCCAATTCCCTGAAAACGTTTTGGGATCCAGTGCCACGGACGTGGGCTGGCTCTGGGCGCAGCCTTGCCCTTCTCCCCGAGCCCTTCCCTCCCTTAGCTCTGCTCCGCCTCCGGCGCTGCCGCATTTCATTCTGGGAGTCGTAGTTTGGCCGGCAGCGCCCGGAAGGACGGAAGGGCACCGGTGTCTAGCCGGTCCTCTTGCTACCAGGGGTCGCGTTTCTTCTTCTGCTCCCTTTCGTTCTCTCCTGCGTACCTTCTGTGAGCACGGCTTCCTCTGTCTGTGCCACCGTTTCTCTTTTGGGTTCCAATAAAGTTTTCCTCTTCCTCCCTTTGTACAGAGCTCAAGATGGCGGCCTCCTGGTCGCCCTTGGTTACGCTGCGCTTAGTGCAGAGCCGCCTGAGAGGGAGATGTGTTGGGTGCGGGGCCTGGGCTGCTGCTCTCGCCCCTCCGGCCACCGCCCCTGGAAACACCTTTTGGAAAGGTCAGTGACTGTGCCATGAGTAGGCCGAGCCGACTGCATATGACCGGGGAAGCCTCGGGTCAGTCACCGTCTATCTCCCCCAGTTGCCTCCTGGTTTCACGGTTTTCGGAACTAAGGGTCCCTGGAGAGGAGTTTCAGCCTCTCTTGTCTTTGGGTGTCCATGAAGGAGCCCTGAGCAATGAGGAAGCTGACCCAGAGCGACTTTCATTTTGAGGTCAGAGGTCAACTCAGAGTTTGTTCCTTACAGGCTGTCAGAGTTACCACTTGGTGAGCCCAGGTGTGGGAGTGCCTGGCTGGAATGGGTGCAAATACGGGATCGGGGTCTGGGGCCCCTTATACCTGCGCCTTCCCTATTCTCCAGGCTGGTGACCCTGCACTGAATCTAAAGCCGAACGTGGGACTTAGGCAGGCCCCGCTGGCCCTGGGGATTCTGGGAACGCAAGTGTGCAAGCTTTCTCAGATTGAGGGATCAATTCTTGTTCTTTTCAAGTCACTAGAGGCCTTAGTGGGGTATATTTTGTTACCAGGCTTGCTCATTCATTCATTCATTCATTCATTCAAATTGTTACGTGTTCAGGAGTGAATGAACATATATTATGAGTAACCAGGTCCCAGGAGTACTGATTTTGCTGCTATATTCATATACTCTCATTAACCTACAGCCTACTTAAAAGCAAGGACCAAGTGTCTTGTTTCTTCAGCATAGTGTTAGTTCCTGATGGGCAAGATACATTTTTTTGAATGAATGAATGATTTTATTCTTGTTGTCTCTTCCATCCACATACTGTTTTCTTTTCTCTCATCTCCACCCCTTCTTCTGTGTCTTAATCAAATTGATTCTCATTGGCTCATTTAGCTAAACCCCTATCAGTCTTAAGTTGTTACCATCAATAGAGTTGAAATTAATACTAGAACTCTGATTAAGTCACCTTAGGTGGTTTTTTTTTTGGCAGTTTCACATAATCTGCTTACTACATAATGGAATATTTTGGTAGCATAAAGGTTGGGTCATAATATAAGCTTTATTATTTTTATTTTGGGAATAGATAATAAAAACAGATGATACAAGAAATATAGTAAAATATTAAGACTATTCCATCCCTGTCCCTTAGCCACTTAATTTTTCTCCCAGAGGCAACCTCTAATACTAGTTTCTTATGTATTCTTCCAGAGACATTCTGTGTATGTACAAACATATATGTATATAAGCATCTATATTTTAAAAATAAAATAGAAGTGGTAACATATACACACTCCTCTGTACCTTTCTTTTTCATTTAATATATCTTGGAGATCATTGCATATCAATACATTTAGAACAGCCTGATTTTAAATGGTTGAAATAGAATTCTATTCTGTGCATGTACCATAATTTATGAAAATTAAGATGTAAGGAACATCATCACAATAATATGCAGTATCCTAAGTGCTTTCTACATTCATTATCTCATTTAATTCTCATTATCCTCATTTTGGGGATGATGAATCCACGGTTGCAGAAGTTATGTGGCTAGTTAAGTGTCAGAACTTTTGGTTTCAAGTAAAGGCTGTATTTGGATTTATATCTGACTGCAAAGGCTTTGCTATGAACAAAGCCTGTACTCAAATTTTTAAAAAAATAATAAAATCAAGATTTTATTTTTATTTATTTATTATTATTTATTTATTTATTCAGAATTATCATTTGGAATTTCAAAACTTACCAGTAACCAAGGGGTTAATGGGACTAATTACAGCTTCAGGCTAATAAGTGCTGCTGCAACTTTTCCTCCAGGCCTTTTCCCTTTGCCTTTAAATTTCCCTCCTTCTTTGGGGAAGTGGATTTGAGGCTTGCTCTCCCATTTCCTTGTTTGGTTACCTTTCAAGTAAACCCTTTTCTCGCTGCATACTTGATGTCTCAGTGATTGCCTTTGCTGTAAGTTGGGTAGCCAAATCTGGGTTCGGTTACAGATTTGGCAAGTGAGCCAAGACTTTTTTGCCTGCCCCTGTTTCGTTTGTTGGCCCCTAGCTGGTGATGGGGGCCCGGTGACAGGTTCTTTGCCCTAGGGACTGTCCCTGGGTCCTACTCTACTTGGGTACCTCTGACCTTCGGTGTCTAATTTTCACTCTTGTGGCAAGGAAATGTTTTTTTGGCTTCAGTTTGAATAGATGTCTCTTGGTGACTACTTCGTGTGTGTGACGGACAGCATGTGAGTTTCTCCATTTGGTTTGGCTCTCAGATTTCTTCCTCCCATTTGGTTGCCTTCAAATAGTGGGATTTGATTCTCTTAGCCTCCTTTCTTGCTTAAGAAAAGCCTGACTAGGCAGCCATTTGGTTCAGTCAGTGAAGCTCTGATTTTTAGGGAGGAACTAGAAACTAAGAAGCCATTTGATTCAGTCTGTGAAACCTCAAATTGTGGGGAGGAACTGATGTTCCTCTGGACTTAATTTCTGCTTTTGTTGTTGCTGTAGATTTTGGTATTTTTGAATAAAACCAGCCGTGTTCTAATTGAAAAATTGGAAATGACAATTTGATCCCCACATGCAGCCTTTTGGGCTGGATTCAAAATTGGCCATTCTTCAAACCATGAGAGACTCTTGAATGCTGACAAAAACTGAGGACTGATGGATGTGGGGGGGAGAGGGGGATGGGCATGGAGGAGGGCACTTTGGGGATGAGCACTGAGTGTTATGTGGAAACTAATTTGACAATAAACTATTTGTAAAAAAAAAAAACAAAAAACAAAATTGGCCATTCTTTTTTTGCAACACTGCTTGGCCATATCCATTAATTATAATATCATATTGCAATTACGTTTGGGTTGTAAAAGGGGATATTTGGAAATTGGGCCTTTAAGATTTTGTTGAATCGTGTCTATTTGTATGTGTGTCCATGTATGTTGTACATGTGAGATATTTTGTCTACCTCCGGATGTTATTGCTGAAGTTAATTTGTAAAAGGGCTCTATTTAGTTGGTTTAAAGGCAAGTGCTTATAAGAATTGGGCATTCTAAGACTCAGAAAGATAGACTGTATGCTAACTAACTTGGATGTAAATTAAAAAAAATTAAGGAGCGCCTGGGTGGCTCAGTCGGTTAAGTGTCCGACTTCGGCTCGGGTAATGATCTCATGGTTTGTGGGTTTGAGCCCCACGTCAGGCTCTGTGCTGACAGCTAGCTCAGAGCCTGGAGCCTGTTTCAGATTCTGTATCTCCCTCTCTCTCTGACCCTCCCCTGTTCGTGCTGTCTCTCTCTCTCTCTCAGAAATAAATTAAAACATTAAAAAAAAAAAAAAAAACTCAGAAAGGTAGAAACTAACCCAGGCATCTTTAAAGTTCATGTTATCTTGTAAAATATTCGGTGTTAAGGCTAATTCAAGGTTATTGGTTTAAAAAAAAAACAGACATGTCTTTAGAGTTATCAGATTAAATGTAAACTTTTTTTCTGCCTGTCTTTACTGAAAGTCAAATCAATTCATCCTCTCTCCATTGCAAGACTTGTCAGAAAAGAAAAAATTAAAATTGAACTTTGTCTAATGCCTCATGAAGTTTTATGAGTATTCTAATAAATAGATATAAATAATTTTAATAAATGTAATTAGGACTACTGGAAATAATAAGGTAGGCAACTCTGTGAGGAAAGTGAGACTGGTTATTATTATTTTTTTAATGTTTTATTTATTTTTGAGAGAGAGAGAGAGAGACAGCATGAGCAGGGGAGGGTCAGAGAAAGAAGGAGGCAGAGAATCTGAAGCAAGCTCCAGGCTCTGAACTAGCTGTCAGCACAGAGCCCAGTGCGGGGCTCGAACTGCGAGATCATGACCTGAGCCAAAGTCAGACGCTTAACCAACTGAGCCTCCCAGGTGCCCCGAGACTGGTTATTTTTTTATAAGAAGAATTAAAAATAATTTTTTTAAAGTTTATTTTTGAGAGCGAGGAAGAAAACATGCATGCTAGTGGGGGAGGGGCAGAGAGGGATACAGAAGATCTGAAGCAGTCTCCCTGCTATCAGCACAGAGCCCCATGTGGGTCTCAAACTCATGAACTGTGAGATCATGACCTGAACCAAGATCAAGAGTTAGATGCTTAACTGACTGAACCACGCAGGCACCCTATTGTTATTATTTTTAAATGGTTATTTATTTTGGGTGAAAGGTCGGGGGTGGGGGTTGGGGAGAGCAGGAGAGCACACATGCACTGGGGAGGAGCAGAGAGAAAGGGAGAGAGAGAATCCCAAACCGGCTCCATGCATCAGCACAGAGCCCAATGTGGGACTCAATCCCATGACCTTGAGATCACGACCTGAGCAGATATCAAGAGTCAGACACTTAACTACCTGAATGGATGCAGGCACCATCCAGGTGCCCTGCAAGAATAGTTATTTAAAGAGGGAAAACTTAGGACAAAATATGAATATGAAAAGTTAAGTTGTAGAAGGTTTATGAGAAAGACTTTTTGGAAAAGAATTTTGTGCATGGCCTGGACTAAGATTAGTAGTAGATTAGAATGTAAAGAAGTTTATCAGAGATCAAAATCTGGGGAAAGAGAAGGGACCATAAGAGAGCAAGATTAGGCAGAAGTTGAGCTGTGATAAAACATCAACAGAAGCCCTAACTGATTCTCTGAGGAATTCCAAAAGTTGGATTATCCTTCAGAACCATCCCAAATTGGGACAAAAGGGCTGGACTTTTATAACAGTGATTGAACATGACCACCTGGGGAGAGGGTGTATCTTTGGCAATTCAGCTGTCTTCAGTCAAGGCAATCCCTGGTGGCCTCTGAGAGTTGAGGACTGTTGGGAGTACTCTTACAGCTAAGAGTCCTTCATTCCTGATGGAGATATGTTTATGGATGGTAACAGTTTTAATAACCAAAGACCATGAAGAGCTGGATGCAGCGATGACCCATCAGCTATTGTCCATTGCTGAAGACATCAGAAATTGTACTGATTGCCCAAGCGAACAATTGGGCAGAGTAAGTTGCCAAGTTACCAAAGACTCTAAAACCTTCTATAATGACTTCA